TGAAGACTACCGTCCTACTCTCCAACTGCCTACCCGTTCAGTGCCTGAAGCTCCTATGTACTATCACGGGTGCCTCCTGACTCGGGCGAGCAGTCCAGGAGGCTGCTCTTGCCCATAATGCCGAAGGGAGGCAGGGGCCGCAGCTGCAGCTACTGCTCGTGCTCTTGCCAATAATGCCGAAGGGAGGCAGGGGCTGCAGCTGCAGCTCCTGCTCGTGCTCTTGCCAATAATGCCGAAGGGAGGCAGGGGCTGCAGCTGCAGCTCCTGCTCGAGCTGGCGTGGGAACAGGCCATAAATAGCCTGTTCCGAAACCCAGTTTTCGTGCCTGAATCTTAGGGCAGGTCGAAACATACGAGGGCCTAAAAATAGCCCAGGGCCTAAGAATAGCCCTCCGTTTCAGGCTGGAAAAACTCTGGGTTTGAAAGACCCAGAAATACGCTGAAACGAAGTAGGGCCTGCAGGCCCTCGTTTTTCAGTTTTCAGGCTGAAACGACCGGGGCCTGTAGCTCCTAAGTTTTAGGCTTTTAGGCTGAATGTCCGGGACGGGTCCGACAGGGCCCGTGTGGCTACGCAGTCTGCCACAGGCATTGACTCGTCAACTTGGACAATTGCTCTTGGGGTAAGTCGTTACGAAACGGAACAACGGTGTCCTGCTATCCCTTTCAGGGGAAAACAATAAGAGCAAGAGCTTGTAAACTTCTCAAAGATGAGAAAGGGGGGAGAATGGTGGTGATTGGGGGCTGGGGAGAGAAGCCCAAACACAACTTTCATAAGCCGTGGAAGGAATTGATAGGCTGTGGAAAGAATCGCGACCAACAATACCTGCATGAATGCTTGATTTAAGAGTTCCTGTGACGGAGGAGGAAAGGCTGAAGGACCAGCTCCAGCACCACTTCCACTTCCATTCAACGACGAAACCCCACTGCTAGAACCAGCCTGTTGCTGCTGCTGCTGCTGCTGCTGACCTGCTTTCTGGTCCGAGTGTTGGCCAGATGTGCTAGGAGCAGCAGCAGAGGAAGACGACGGTCCTGTACCTGAAGATGGGACAGCATGATCTGTCAATCCCGATCTGGAAGGTCCAGCTGCACTTGTGGGATCTTCAGGAGCCTTTGACGACCGGCTTCTGTCTGTGACTCCAGGGACCGACGCACCACCCATACCCGGTCTCCCAACGCGCAAACAAGGTCCCATTCCCGTGGACCCTGCTGGTCCCACATTTGCACCGCCCCCATCCATCATCTCACTTCTGCCAGGCGTTAGAGTGGGAAGACCTCCACCACCAGGCACAGATACCGATGCAGATGGGCCTCCTGTCATAGAAGCCAAAGCTGCTAACGAAGTAGGAGAGGACGGAATAGAATACGGACCCATACTCGACGAGGTGGATGAAGACGCTCCTTGAGCGAGGCTAGTACTTCCTGCCCCTGGAGGACCCTGCCGACCTGGGAGCGTAGCATTAGCAGAAGATGAAGACGCACCGCCCAGCGTGTGGGTCGCCGACTGCCCTGCATCCCGCTGTTCCTGATGCATTGCTCCTGACACCACAAGATGCATGATTTGCACCTCATCAAGATTGCACTTCATCATCAGCAGCACCAATCAAATTGATAGACAAACAACAATCAAACCAGAAGTCAGTGTGATTGTAACATTGTCTTCAAAGGTGTACACAGACGCATGGTAGAGAGGAGAGACAAGGGTTCATATAGTATCATAATACAGATTTAGAATAAAAACAAAAGGGTTAGGTACAGATCTGCAAATAAAGCAAAGGAAGCGTCATGAAAAGGGTCAGGTCATTTGCGGTAAAGCCTCCTTCCCCATTTGCCTCTTGCACTACTGCGTTCATGACCATCTAGGAGCTATCGACATTACTGAAAAGTCGGCTTAGGCTTTAAAGCAGGGCTGGTCCCCGGATGGACCGGGGACCCCTACCCCATCCGTGGTCCTCCCGGTTGGACCGGCCGATGGCCTGGGCCGGTTCCCTCCTGCATTTTTGCTGGGGCCTGAAGTTTTTTTTTGGGCAGCGCGTATATGCTACGGAGGCCTCATGGGGGCGGGCCCTGCCCCGCAATTTCGTAACCGGGTCCTGCAGGCCCGAATTTTTGAAGTCCAAAAAGTGGCCAATCTTGGCCGCCGATCGTCGCAGATCAGCGGCAAAGATCGGCCACTGTTTTGAATCAGTTCGGGCAGGAAACGGAATCGCACAGCGGGGGAAAACGCATCGCGCATTCAACCCCGCTCACCTCCACTCTGTGCAGCCACTCCGTCGTCGCCTCCGACAGCCAGCAACGCCATCGTCGCCACCGCCAGCCAGCCAGCCTCGCCATCGTCGGTAGGTCTCCGCGGGGTGCAGCAGCGCCATCGTCGCCTCCCCCAGCCAGCTGTGTCATTGCGCCCCCCGCCGATGAGCCATTCCATCACGCCCCCAGGTTTGTTTCCTCTTCTTCTTCTTCTTCTTCTTCCTGGTCACTCTCCTCGCCCGTTAGCCATAGCAGTCCTCCGCTTCTTCTTCTTCATCTTATTCAACCTCCTCCTCCTCCTCCTCCTCTTCCAGTTCTCCTCTCTTAGGCATCGGCTTGCGTTCTTCCTCCTCCTCCTCCTCCTCCCCCTCCTCCTCCATTAGGCATAGCCATTTAACTCTTTTATTTTTTTTTTGTTGCCTTGCGTTCTTCTTCTTCTTCTTCTTCTTCTTCTTCCTCCTCCTCCTCCTCCGTTAGCCATAGCCATTATTATTATTATATTTTTTTTGAAGCTGCTTCATCTTCCTTGCGTTCTTCTTCTTCTTCTTCCTCCTCCTCTTCTTCTCTCCCCCCTTCTTCGTCATTTTCTTCTTCTACCACCTCCTCCTCCTCCTCCTCCTCCTCCTCTCCTCCCTCTTCTTTGTCATCTTCTTATTCTTCTTCCTCCTCCTCCGTTAGCCATAGCCGTGTAGTATATTTTTTTTCTTTCCGTTGCTGTTTCAACTCCCGTCGAACCCCCCCCCCCCCCCCCCCCCSMAAAAAAACAACCTTCAAAGTTGTATTGTGGAATCCGACAGATCTCGGCAAGCCCAGTCGGATCCCGCAAAGAAAAAAAACATAAAAAATTGGGCATTTTTTGGGCCATCCAGTTTGCCGGTTGACCTCCCCTGGCCTGATTCCGGCCCCAGTTGGACCAGGTCAGCTCGACCGGCCGGTTGCCGGCCCAGCCCTGCTTTAAACTTTAAATACTCAAATAAATAACTGAGCATATTGGACGAATTCCTGCGTTTGTTGAGGCCTTCCTCATAACAGTCATAGGCATACTAGGGATAGGTGTGTGCTGCAATGTCCTTCTCCCCTCCTTTTTCGTTAAAGGTTTTCTTTTTGGTTTCCCAAAGGGGTTTAACCACTAATATGAAAGGGTCAGGACCCATTGGTGCTATGTTCACATTTGGGACGAATGGACTTGGCCGCAAGAGCAACGAAATTCCTGCTTTCCTAGCATAAACCATAGCAGCAGTGGGGTCTGCCCCTTACGGTATTCTCGATGTGTGCAAAGAGTTCACTTCCTGACACGCTACAAGACCTAAGAGATACGGAACTAGAGCCCAGCTGAGGGCCAGCATACACTGGTGTGGTTATGCCCGTTGGTGCGGGCAGATAGCATGAACCTGGACACAGCAGGTATACTGCAATATTTCCAAATAAAACGCATGGGAATATGAATGGTAGCGCTGGTGAAAGCAACTTTGATTCTCTTTGATTTGAGCCACAGATACAACAAAAGATTACCAGTGCTAATTTCCAATGGAATGCTATCATAAATAGGGGGATGACAGTTTGCAAATTTTACTAAATTGCTTTTCCTTTTCCCCTTGCGCCGTAGGAATGCATAGATAGGGTGTAGCCGCACCACTTACAGAACTCGTGTTTTTTTTCGGTGAGGTGCAGGTCACTGCACCACTCACCAATGTGACATTCAACATAATATTATCATAAATAGGGTGACCACGATTTTGCAAGGAATATGAGTGGGAACGATATACAGAAAACCAAGTTGCGAAATCACACAGATGTCCAGGTAGTCATGTACAAGCAGAGAGCACAAATGCACCAAGATTCCATCCAAATAAGAGCAATACAATGAAGTAACAAGCCAATGTTCAAGCCCTCAGGCCACACCAACACAGTATCCAAAGTCGCTCCTCTCTGTCTGGCGCCCAGCGCCCAGCCTACACTACCTGACTATCCTACCTACATCAGCATTCTCGCAACAGGCTCACTTCGACTCTCGAAGACCAATGTACATGTCGTCAACACCATAGCCGACCTCTTCCATGTACCAGGTACGTAGCTCGCTTCCCCTCATCAAACCCTGCCACTCTGGCCTCAGCGCAGCACGCAGCCTCTAACGCAGCAGCACAGCATGACCGCATTGCCTGTGTGGGCCAGAATGCCAGACCCTGGCTGCCAGCCTTCCTATATGGAAGTGGCAGCCTCTGCGTGGCTGCGTGTGGCCTGGCTGGAATCTTCCAGTAGCTTCCGGTTGGGCCCCAGTGCCTGCGCCAAGGCCCCAGGCTACAGTTGAGGGCCTGGGCCCTTTACAGTTGGGCACGGCCTGAGTCTCCGGACTTGGGCCATTGGCTGCACTTGCACAGGACCCGGGGTAAGTACGTCGACAGTGCGGCTTTTGCTTAGGCCTGGGCCAACTGTGCGACGCATCTTAGGGAGGTTCAAGCGTCCACTCAACCAACTGGCGGGCCGCAACAGCCTGAGTACCCACATATGAAAATGTCGAATATTGGCCTCTGATGAATATTCAGGCCCGCCTTCACTTAGGGCGGGCACTCGGCTGGCTTGGGGGCTTTCGGCCAGAACATGTGTACGTCTGATAAGGGCCCCGTGAGGGCTCGTTCCTCGCAATTTGTATTTTTTTGGTAAATTGCTATTATTTTGTCCCTTGGGCTGAAGGAATGCATAGGCAGGGCCTTGCAGCACCACCTACTGAACTCATGTTTTTGCGAGGTCCAGGTCGCTTCACGAGGCACACCGATGTGACCTTCAGCAGAAGTCGTGTCAGAGTTCGTAAAAATGTGGTTTGGGACCTCACCGCACTACTGATCAAATGTCCACAACAGAGAATGTAACTCCCTGTAGAACGTGGAAAGATACACCCTTTCCACCCAAAGTTCTTGTCTTCTTTACATTTGATACCACTACCGGTAGAATGAGGAAAGATACACCCTTTCCACCAAAGTTCTTCTCCTTCACATTTGGTGACTGGTGCGGTTACGCCCTAGGTGAAAACTCACCGAACCCTCCATCTTGGTACAGCGACACCCTTTGTGAATACTCACTAAACCCTCCGTCTTCCTCCCCACCTGCAAAATCGAGCTTTTGTTCTTCTTCTTCATACTCACCGAACCCTCTCTCTTTGTGCAGTGACGCCCTTGGTGAGTACTCACTGAACCCTCCGTCTTCCTTCCCACCTGAAAAATCGAGTTTTAGTTCTTCTTCATACTCACTGAACCCTCCGTCTTCCTTCCCAACTGCAAAATCGAGTTTTAGTTTTTCTTCTTCACATTTGGTGACTGGTGCGGCAGCGCCCTTGGTGAGCATTCACCGAACCCTCCATCTTGCTGCGGCGATGCCCTTGGTGAGTACTCACCGAACCCTCCGCCATCGTCCCCACCTGCAAAATCCCGTTATCGTTCTTCTTCTTCACATTTGGTGACTGGTGCATCGGACACCCTTGGTGAGTACTCACCGAACCCTCCGTCTTCCTCCCCACCTGCAAAATCGAGTTTTGATAGGACCTTCCGGTGCACCACCAACACCACATGGTGAGCGTGCCACGGGCCCACCAGACCGCTGGTCTGGACTGTTTTCAAGAGAAGGGCAGCTTCTCACCGTCTCCATGGCATGCTTTTGACCAGCTTCTAAGGCAAGAGGGGAGGTTCGGTGAGTGAGTTCTCACAAAAACTAACTTGGTCTCACTGCAGAGCATTCACCCTCATCAAAATCGGACCCAGGCGAGGCCCTACTAGCAAAGAGGATTGGATTTGACACCTGACTCTAGATGTGTTCGTGGAGAAGTGCAGAAGATCCGGATTGGTCTCACTGCAGAGCACTCACCCTCACCAAATTCGGACCCAGGTGAGGCCCTACTAGCAAAGAGGATTGGATTTGACGCCCGAATCTAGATGTGTTCGTGGAGAAGTCCAGAAGATCCGGATTGATCTGCTTTTCTGCATCTCTGCACAAAACACATCCAGATTCAGGCTCTCAATCCAATCCTCTTACTAGTGGGACCTCGTCCCTGGTCTGCACTTAGTTTGGTGAATTGAATGTTTCAGTGAGCGGTGACCCCAGGGCCAGACCTAGTTTTCGTGAGTTTCCACGGGCCATGCCCAACTTGGGGAGGTTTAGTTCTGGCTACTTGTGAGTATTTTTCAACGTGGTCACACTGCCGCCGTGAGAATTTCAGATCCGATGGCAGGGACCCGTGTAGACTCGAAACAAGAACTAAACCTTCCCAAGTGGGGCACAGCTCTGGGTCACCTTTTTGTGGTGGTGAGAACTCGTCACCGATTTTGGGTTTTTGGGAGTGGTCCC